ACTCGATGACGATCTGCCCTCCATCGACGCAGTCCCGGGGTAAGTGGAACTTGATGTCGATGTGCTTGCTCCGGTCGTGAAGGACATGATTCTTGGCGAGAGCGCTGGCGGGCTGATTGCCCAGCAGCCAGCGCAACCAGACAGCCTGGCATGTCGCCGTGGCCACTGCGACGTACTCCGCCTCACACGTCGACAGCGCCACAATCTTCTGCTTCAACGATTGCCAGGCAATTGGGGCTGCTCCAAGGAAGACAAGCACACCAGAGGTGCTCCGTCACCCGTCGATGTCACCCGCCATGTCTACGTCGCTCAAAACAGTGAGCTCCGACTCACCTTCCTTTGCCTTGGGGTGCCTCACTGAAGACCGTGAGCCGTAGCCCACCCTTGCCACCACTCTTGGAGAAGATGATCGCTTGATCGAGCATCCCCTTGACGTAGGCAGCAACCTTTTTCACCACCGTCTAGTGATCCTCACGTGGTTCCTCCATGAACTGACTAGCATACCTGACCACGAACGCGATGTCCGACCGAGTATGCATGAGGTAGTGTAGCCCGTCGACGATGCTCCGGTAGCGCGTCGCATCCACCTTCGCCGCCATGTTGTGCTTGGACAGCTTCAGCTGCTCCTCCATTGGAGTTGCGCACGGCTTGCACTCTGCCATGCCGCTGTGCTCTAGCAGCTTCTCCGCATAGGTGCGCTGGCCCTAGGAGATGTGCTCCTTCCCCGCCTTCACCTCAATGCCGAGGTAGTAGGAGAGCGGGCCGAGATCGCTCATTTTGAAACGAGCAGCCATCTTGCGCTTGAAGCCGTCAATGTCCTCCGCCTGTGCTCCAGTGATGATCAAGTCGTCCACATACATGCCGACGATGAGCTCCTCCTTCTCTCGTCGTAGTTTGTACAGTGCATGCTCTATGGCGCAGTGAGTGAACCCAAGCTCGCCCAAGGTGGCATCGAGCTTGGCGTTCCACGCCCGAGGGGCTTGTCGCAGCCCGTAGAGCGCCTTGCGCAGCTTGAGCACCTTGTGCTCAGTGCCCTTGATGACGAAGCCCGAAGCTTGCTTGACGAAGATCGTCTCCGCGAGCTCGCCGTTGAGGAACGTAGACTTGATGTTGAAGTGGTGGATGCGCCAATCCTTCGCTGCTGCTATGGCCAACAACAAGCAAACGGACTCCATTCGTGCCACCGAAGCAAAGACTTCCTCGAAGTCAATGCCCTCACGCTGCACGAAGCCGCGGGTGACAAGCCGAGCCTTGTACTTGACAATGGCGCCATGCTCGTCCCGCTTCACCTTGTAAACCCACTTCAACCTGATCGGCCTACAGCCCACCGGTGGATCCACCAGCTCCCATGTCCCATTGTCCTTGATCGCCCTCATCTCCTCCAACATCGCCCGACGCCAATGGGCATCACATTCAGCCACTGTGAACATTGGCGGCTCCTCTACGCTGACAAGGAGTAGTTCTAGGTCATCCATAAGCCGGCTAGCCAATCCAGGAGCTCCCCCTTCACCGACAAGGTTGTCCACCCGCCTGAACCGAACCTCCTCGCCGTCATGGAAAGCATCCATGAACTCGTCGATGTCGGTGGGTGGTCATGTGAACTCCAGTGGGGGTGTCCCCTGTGCTGCCATCACAAGGGACTGTGGTGGAGGTGAATGCGCCGCTGCTGGTGGAGACTACTCTCCAGCAGCAGCCCATTCTCCAGCGCCTGCTCTCCAGTGCCATCATCTCCTCCTCCTTGGATCACCAAGTGCTCGATAGCAAATGTGCTGCTTACACCAGTAGCTTCCCCGGCGCCTTGATCCTCCCAATCCCAAGCAGCCATCTCGTCGAACACTACATCCCTAGAGACCACCACCCTGCCTCCCTTGGGATCATAGAGCCGATAGGCCTTGCTGCCCTCCTCATAGCCCAATAGCACCATGGGCATGCTTCTGTCCCCCAGCTTGCCAAGGTGGGGCTTTGTGTTCTTGACATGGCCAACATAGCCAAATGTCTAGAGGAAGGATACATTCGGCTTGCGTCCATGCCAAGCCTCTAATGGTGTCTTGCCCTTCAAGGCCTTGGTGGGCGCGTGGTTGAGGATGAACATCGCCATGGTCACCGCCTCTCCCCAGAACTCTGCCAGCATCTTCTTAGCCTTCATCATCGACCTCGCCATGCCGACCACTGTCTGGTTGCGTCTCTCCACCACGCCATTCTACTGCGGCGTGTATGGCGCGGAGTGGTGGCACACCACACCTTGATCCGCGCAGTACGCTGCAAACTCTATAGAGGTGAATTTGCCGTCGCGATCAGTCCGCAGCACGTGCAGCTTCTTGCTGCTCTCCACCTTCGCACGTGTCTTGAACTTCTTTACCGCTCCCGCTGTCTCAGTCTTGCTGGTCAGAAGCTACAGCCACATGAACTGGCTGCAGTCATCCACCAGCAAGATGAAGTACTTGCGCTCGCCGTGCGTCGTCGACGTGATCGGCCCATAGAGGTCACCATGGACCAGCTCGAGGGCCTCTACCATGTGGTACTTCGCCCTCTTCAGGAATGACAGCCTTCTTTGCTTCCCGGCCAGGCAGCTGTCACACAGCTCTCCTATGTGCTCAATGTGAGGCAGCCCCTAGACCATCTTTTCTAGCTTACCGAGGGCGTCGAAGCTAAGATGGCCATAGTGGGCGTGCCACAGCCATGACTCCTTCGTGCGCTGCGCAGCCAAGCAGATGGGCTTCTCCACCTTCAAGTCGAGCAGGTACAGCCGGTTCTAGGAGCTCTTCACCTTGGTAAGAAGCCGCTGCTCCCGGTCCCTGATCCTAAGGACGCCGTCCTTGATCAGCACCTCACTGCCACACTCATCTAGCTAGCCAATGCTGATGATGCTTGAACACAGTTGCAGGATGTAATATACATCCGTCAACGCACGGTGCTCACCATTCTGGCACCTGAAGATGATGGTGCCGCGCCCTCGGATCGCCACCCTTGAGCCATCACCGAACTTCACCGTGCCGGTCACGTTGCCGTCGAGCTCAGAGAAGGCTGCCTTAGAGCCCGTCATGTGGTTGCTGGCGTCGGAGTCCAGGTACCACTGCTGCTCCTGCTCGCTGCCCACACATTCGAGGTGGACTTGGGCGCGTGGTTCGTCGATGTTGACAACCTTCAGAGCCTTCCCGTGCTCCTCCACCGCCATTACCTCTCCCTTCTCCTTAGCCTCAACGTCGTGCAATACACATAATGTCACCATAAGGAGAGTGGCCTCATCATCATGGGCGGATCCAACGGTGGGGCAGGGGGGGCTCGAGCCCCCCCCTACCCATACCGCAGCAGTGGAACCCCTGTGGAGCCTCTATGAATTTTTAGACAAAGTTCTATAGTGTAGGGGGGCTGAGACTTAAGATCTAACAGCAATCGAAGATATGTGTTGTTCAGCCCCCCCTAAAATTATTCCTGGATCCGCCGCTGCTCATCATCATCATCAGCCCCACGCCAAATGAGTCTCAACCTTCTTCTCCTGCTTGCGATTTGGGCACTCCTTTGACCAATGGTCTGCCTTCCCGCAGCGCCGACAGGCGTTGGGGTCAACCTTCTTCTTCTTCTCCAAAGAAGTCTTGCTGCGGCGCTTGCCATCACCACCGTGGCTAGAGAAGGCTTCCCCGGACTTCTTCTCCTTCATTCGGGCAGCCCACTCCACTATCAGCAACAGCTTGCCAATGTCCGCCGTTGTTTGTGGCCTGCTCTATGCACTCGTCCACCACCCATAGACGGCCTGTCACATCCTCAATGGTGAGGGTGGACATGTCCAGCATCGTCTCTATGGAGAGAGCGATCTGGATGTACTTCACCGGTACGGAGTGGAGGTATTTGGTGACCGCCTCTTCTTTGTCAATGGTGACACCGTGGCTCCCCAGCTTGCTGATGAGTGACTGTAGGTGGAGGGAGAAGTCCTCCACTAACTCACCATCCTTGAACTTGAAGTTGGCGTACTCCTGCTTTAGCAGCTGGGCTGTCGCCTTCTTTGTACGATCAGAGCCAATGCGCAATGCTGCAATGGCCTCCCACGCCTCCTTAGTAGACTTCTTCACCCCCAACAGCTCCCAGTACTCCGCAGGCATAGCAGCGAGGATGGCCTCCAGGGCTAACATGTCATCTTCTTCTACATCGGTGCCCTTGTCGATGACGTTCTAGAGCCATCGGGCTCTGAGCTTGACCTTCATGGTCACCGCCCACTCGCCATAGTTGGTACGAGTTAGCTAAGGCCAAGTAGTGCCGCTGACATCCTGCACCATGCGCACGATGACCTCCTATCATGGCTGGGTAGCCCCAGCATCACTGCCGCCTCTCGCAGCTCCGCTGCTGTCGCCCGTCTCTGAGCTAGGTGCCATCGCCGGCGATTAGTCCGGCAATGTAGGCGAACATGTACGACTCCGATGCCACTTGTTGGTCCCTCACTGCCCTGCACAGGTAATCAGTAAGCTTACCAACACACACACTCACTCACTATGGTTAGAGGTAGAAGAAGGGGTGAGCACAGGCACACACACACAACACAAGCACCAGCGTTGGCTAGAGCTCTGCTCTTTTGGTTTGTGGCAAATGAACTGCCTATTTTCATCGCATAGAGGTAGAGTATATATAACTCATGCAGCAACTATAAGGTACACATGAGCATGGCTAAGTACAACCCCAACTACTCCTAGTACTAGCAGTACAATTCCTACCTCAGCCCACTACCAAGACATGGCTGATGTATTAGCTACCAACGAATGTACCAGCGGTGGCCTATTGCCCTACTGCTACAGCAACTAGGACATCAGAGAATGATCTATTGCCAAATCTGCTATGTAGCAAACAAAGAGTGAGAGGTCAGCAGCAGATTATGTCTTACATGCATCGCCAGTCTAGGGATGGGCTAATCACCGAAGATGTTGTCCACGGTGCGGTAGCGTAGAGGCTCATCATCATGGTAGGCATCGACACAGTCCTCGTCATTGGACAACGGAGTGGCAAACTCCACCATGCGCTACTCGTCACGGACCAAAGCTGCTGGTGCCGATCTCGGAGGTGTGGGCACCGATGCAGGAGATTGGGGAGCCGGTATAGGAGAGCGGGGTGTAGACGGTGGTGCAGGTGGTGGACTCGCTGGTGGTGTAGGCGGTGGAGGACTCGCTGGAGCTGATTATGAGCTAGGTGCTGAGGTAGACGAGCTCGGTGAAGGTGAGTTGCTAGCTCCCATAGCTCCCTCGAAGTGGACGTAGTCGACAATGAAGTCTAAGAGTTGAAGTCGAGCCGTCCTCCACCGCCTTGTCCTAGGTTTAGCCTCGCCCTTCGTCGAACACGACGTCACAGGAGATGCAGACGCGCTGTGTCGTAGGGTCGAGGATGCAGTAGGCCTTGACGCCCTCCGCGTAGCCGATGAAGACACCTGATGTGCTCCGGTCGTCGAGCTTGACGATGTGGTTGAGCTCCTTGATGAACGCGAGGCAGCCAAAGACACGGAGGCGGCTGATCGTCTGTTTGCGCTCGTGCCAGGCCTCGTCAACGTCTTGCTGTCAAGAGCCTTGGTGGGCGAGTGGTTGAGGAGATGGATGGTGGTCATCACCGGCTCCCCTAGTAGATTGCTGGCATCCCTCTTTGCTTGAGGAGGGCGCAGGCAGTGGCCACCACCGTCTGGTTGCGGTGCTCGACGACGCCGTTCTACTACAGGGTGTACGGGGTGGACAAGTGGCATAGGATCCCCTCGTTGGTGCAATATGCCACGAACTCAGCCGCTGTGAACTCGCCACCGTTGTTTGTGTGCAGCACCCGAAGCTTGCAGCCACACTCCTTCTCCGCAGTAGCTTGATGGCGCTTGATGGCGTCCGCCACGGCTGCCTTGGTGTTGAGCAGGACTACCCACATGTAGCGGGACACGTCGTCCATGAGGAGGAAGAAGCGTCGGCCTCCAGGTGTAGCCAGTTTCACGGGGCTGCAGAGGTCGCCATGCATGAGCTCTAGCTTCTCCTTGGCGTGGAAGCCACCGCTGCTTGGTGAGGACGCAGGTGTCGTAGAACTGCTCCATGTGCTTGACTTGCGGCATGCCCTGCACCATCTCCTTGTTGCCGAGCTGCTTCAGGGCCTTGAAGTTGAGGTGCCCAAAGCACCCGTGCCACCGCCAGGCATTGTCGATGCAGCGAGCTACAAGACAGAGGGGCTGTGCCACCTGCACATGAAGGACATAGAGGCGGTTGCTCCCCCTATTCACCTTGGCAAGAAGGCAGCGACGGTGATCCCAGATGTGCAAGACCCGTGCTCGATCTCCACGTGCGAGCCAGTCTCATCTAGTTGTCCCAAGCTAATGATGGAGTTCCTAGCGTGGGGATGTAGTAGACGCCGGTGAGCAACCGGTGCTCGCTGGTCTTGGCAGTGAAGATGATGGAACCGATGCCCTTGATCTCCATAGCAGAGGCATCCCCGAACTTGACGGAGCCTCGCATATTGGGGTCCAAGTCAGAGAAGTACTCCCACCGCCCGGTCATGTGGTGGGTGGTGCTAGTGTCGAGGTACCAGCTGTTGATCTTGTCACCATCGGACCTGTTGTCGAGGTGGAGAAGGGCGGCGGCGGCCAGCACGGGAGAGAAGTGCAGCTCGATGCTCCCATGTATGAGGAATAGAGCTAGCTCGTCACCCTCCTGCACTTGCACAACGTGTGCCTAACCACCATGCTACCGCCACGCTTTGCCTGCCGGCAATCCTTGGCCTAGTGGCTGGCCCTACCGCAGTTCTTGCAGGTGTCATCGTGGGTAGCCTTGCGCTCGCCGTCGGCGTCGTCAGGAGCGCCACCACGTGCCTTGCCCTGCTTGCGCAGCCAGCGCTTGCGGCTGCTCGACTAACCCGATGCCTCCCCCTTCTTTCGCTCCTGCTGGCGGGCGAGCCACTGCTCCCCGGTGAAGAGAAGCTTGCCATCGACGGTGACCAGCTCTGAGGGAGGTAGCTGCTTGCAGTTGATGACGGCCTTGAGGCGACCCGTCACCACCTCGATCGATGGCTCGGAGAAGTCCAGTAGCATCTCGATCGCTATGGCGACCTATGAGTACTTCTTGGGGACGATGCGAAGGAACTTCTCGATGGCTCTCTCCTCGTCGATGTCGTCGTCGTCGTACCACACCAACTGTTGCATCAGGGTGGTGAGGTGGAGAGTGAAGTCACTGATGTCCTCGCCCGGCTTGAAAGCCAGGTTCTCCCACTCCTGACGCAGCTTCTACAGCATGGATCTGCGGCGCGTGGTCGCTGCCGATGCATGCCGTGGCGATGGATTCCCAGGCGTCCTTGGCGCTCTTCCTTGTCCGCGAGGGAGGACTACATCTCCAGCGCAATAGCAGCAAGAAGCGCCTCCAGCGCCCGTCGATCCTCGGAGAAGTCGGCGTCGCCATACCGTATCTTGTCCCACATGTGCCGCGCCTGCATGCTCACCTTCATCACCATGGGCCACTCGACGTAGTTGGTCTTGGTGAGCATGGGCCATCCGCCACCGGCGCCGGCATCCTTGAAGACGGCCTGGACGATGGGAGGTGAGCCGGGCCGGCCATGCCATCCACAGTGCCAGTCTAGGGAAGGGAAGGTGCGCCGCCTATGAGGGCTCCATGTGCTAGCGTCCCGACCGCCCTGCTCACGTCCGTCGCGACCACGTCCACCGGTGTTGCGAGCGTCGAAGTCCCGTAGAGCCTGCTCCAGCTTCGTGCGCTCACGCTGGCGTTGCACCTCTAGGTTGCTGTCGATACGTGCATCACGTGCACTCGCGTCTCGGTCGAGGACGTCGTGACCGCATCCACCTGGGACGCCGAAGTCGTGCCCGCGTCCGCCTAGGTTGTTAAAGATGCGTCTGGGTCCACCCCGCGGTCATGCGTCATGCGCAGCCTCGCGGTCGAGCGCCAAGCCTCTACGTCGCGCCCGCCAGGTCTGCCTAGGTCACGTCCGCTTCGGTCGTCCGCTCGTGTGGCCCGTGCGCCAGCGTACAAGTCGACCCGTACGCCTACGGCCCGCGCGTCCGCGTCTCTTCTGTCGAAGCCACGCTGGTCCGCGCCCTGTAGCTCCCGCCTGTCCTCGCTGCCCAAGCCCCACGCGTCCTCGCCGCGCAAGGCAACAGCTTCTGCTGACGCTACCTCTGCCACCGCCGCCGCTTCCGCGGCCGCCTCAGCAACGCGTGTCACTGTGAGCTCCGCTGCCGCCTAAGCAGCTGCCTGGGCTCGCACCGCTGCCTCCTCTCGCTGATCTGCCGCTGCCTAGGCTGTTGCGTGCTCGCCCGCCGCCCATGAATGCTTAGCAGCCTCGCCTACGCCAGCCGACCGGCCACGCCCAGTGTAGATTGTAGTGAATTGGGAGCGAGGGGGTAAGACATGGCGACGGGATTGGAATGGGTAGGGGTAGGGGTAGGGGTAGAACCCAGATAAACTTAGGCTCTAGATACCATTTGTTGGAACCAAAGCACATGTTTGAGGCTAAATTTCTGATTTCATTAGCCTTACGACAAACATGCCAGGTCGGGGATACATATGGAGTAGCATTGTTGGTCCTTCAGAAAGGATTACAGCATATCTTTAAAAACTGAAACTGCATCGTGGTCTTTGCAAAAGAGCCCTCCACGTCATCTATCGCTTGATATCCGTCGGATCTCCCGATAGAGAACTGCAAACAGTCGGATCGGCTCATGAGACGTTTCTGTTTAGATCCTTCGAGAAAATTTGAATCGCAAAACTTTCCAACACAGTCCTTTCCCAATTTCTTTCCAGTCCTTCTCCTCTTCCCCGTGCCCCCGAGGCCCCTGCCGCCGGCCGCCGCCCTCCAAACGCACACCACCACCCAGTCCACGCCAGCGGCGTCGCCCCGCGCCGAGGAGGCCATCAGCTCCTCCCCTTCCTCGAGGCCCCTGCATGTGCGCCTAGCAGGGCGCCTTCCTCTTCCTCGACGCGGACGCGCCGGACGGCGTCTTGGACCTGTCCCTCGGCCAGTTGGCCTCCGCCTCCACATCTCCGCTGGCGCCTCCCGCTTCCGCTACAGCCACCTGCGCTTGCTCTCCTCGGCCCTCTGCGTCCTGTGCATCGCTAAGGAGCTCCCCTGATCTCCAACCAATCCCCACCGCCGCCGGCGCGAGTGCCGTCAGCGCAGACCACACCGGGCCATTCCCAGGCCGTCGCCAAAGACCTCACATCCTCTCCTACCCACCAGTGCGCACTCCAAATCCTGCACCAGCCTGCCACCACTGGATGCAGACCATCTGTTCGTCATCACGCATCAAATTTAACAACAGGACCAAGCTGTCGGAGAATGACAATGTAAGGCTCCACACCTCAACTCGTGTGTAATTAAGAATGCAATAGATACTCCGTATTATTAACATTGGTCATATAAGTATTGCTTCTAAAAATCAGTTCAATCTGATCCGCTGTATATATAAATGATAAAATCATAGTAGTGCTCAGTTTGTGCTAATTTTATAGGATATATGCTTGATTACAAATTTATAACATGATTGCAGGCAAAGCTACTGATCGCTCAATTGGAGTTCCTCAACAAGGAAGGAAAGCTACCTGAGCTATGAGCATTGTCAAAGATTTTCCTCAGTACGCTTGTGCAACAGAAAAGGTAGGTCTGGATACAAGGTTGTTTCAGCAATAGATATGGCTTTTCATTTTTTTAGCAGTTGGAAAAATGTAGGTCTGGATAAAAGGTAGGTCTGGATACTTGCATATTGGTCATGATTTTCCAGTTCTAAGATTACTAATTTACTGAAGATTGGCCTGTCGCATGATGATATGAAATAGTTGTGAGATAGCTGTAGGCTTAATTTCAGAACGAGTATTTGATTGTCATACACCTAAACCAATACCTATTATGGTCACATATGAGCAATTTAGTATACAGTACAACTGCTTTCTTGCTTACATACAGCACAACCAATCTTTGAGATAATGCACAACTAACCCAAATTGCCCGATAGTAAGATACAAAAATGTAATGACAATTGGAAAAATGTGTCTGGCAAAATTAGCTCTATAAGATACTTTTAGTTTTAGTTTCCTATTCATCGTTTTAAGGGTAAAATTTCGTATTAACACAGGTGCGCTGTCTGTTTCAGCTACGAGATACCCGCTGGCTTAATTTGAAAACAGCAGACATTTGATTATAGTGTAGCTGAAGCAATATCATGGTGACATATAGACATTTGAAACACAAAGTTATATTTATCTGCCAGAGACAATCCTTACTTGACAGTAGAATTACATTATTTCTTATACATCCTAATCAAACTTATAGTTTGTAAAAGTTGTTATTTGAATTTACAATACAAATTTCTGTGTTTCTTCTATTTTGATACCCAGCCTTCATACATATTTTTTGTTTCACCTTCAGGTCAAATGGCTTGACAAACAAGAGGTAATATAACTCCTTTTGTTCCTTCAGAAGACTTTATGGGGCAATAAAGAATTTAGAATGAAGTCACTTCCATGTTAAGAAACAGATAGATCTGCTGACCGATTATCGACCACCAGGGATATTCTCACTTAAGTTTTGCAGTCTCTCCCTTTGGACTCTACCACCGAAAATAAAAGGTTGCTGATATACAGACAAATTGGTGCTAATTTCACAGTTACATGTTCTCCTAAAATCTTGACATAATAACGTATGGTATTCTGTGTCCAGGTATTCGAATTCAGAGTTTTAAGAAAGAGCAGATTGCAATGAACATTTTGCCTGCTTATTAAATGGCAAACTGAGGCCACCCCATGTTCCTATCCCATTTGAGGAAGCCAGTAGCAATCCAACAATTTTTGGAAGCAGCGAATGCGATGCTCACTTTCTTTTGCCATTCCTATAGGTTAATCAATTAATGCTAAACATGGATGTACACCACATTTACCCATAACTGCATATTTTTCTGTCAATGTTTCTTCATTATGCAAACAATACACACCACGCTAAAGTATCTGGCAATGTACCCAATAGGTTTCACTGCTACCATTATTACATATTAACTGACAAATGTACTAATGGATCATCTCTTGACTGTTAAGTAGTGCTTCCCCTCACTGCCATCCTTTGATGTCACACAGACAATTTCTTTGTCTTTAGCTATGTAATAATGGCTCGTGAGTTCATAAAGTTGTTGACCTTTAAAAATTGATAAGAATTTAATTTCCTTCCGTATTTATACTTTCGTATTCAATAAACTGATGGTATTTGATAATTAATGTATGCAGGGTACTCTAAAGTCACATCTACGTAGGAAAATTCCATACACAAGGAAGATTAGTATTGACAGAGCCAAGCTTGGATACACTCTCTCATTAAACAAAGCGTGGCAACACCTTCACTACCTGCAATGTCTTAAAAAATATCCAGCACCTAAACACGGTAAGCTCTAATGCTCCACAAAAAACATTCTCATATAGCAAGCTTCCTGAATAGTGCGGTCACAAAGCTTTTCATTCGCAGGTAAATAGGCGTCAAATTGCTGTTAATCAAGCTCTGATGATACCGCTGAAAGTTAACTTTTTTTCCACATTATGCAATGACATCAGCTGTACAAATAGAAGAGATTCGGAAGACTTCAACGATGATCAAGAGGTGATTCAGATAAACTCCTTTTTTCCTTTATGCCACAAGCAACGAATTTCAAAAATATAATAACCATAATTAAAACACATGACAGATTTGAAGAGAACTAAGGCATCCCACACACAGATGAAAGGCAAATAACAAAAGTACTCAAAATTACTGTTTTATGAGTACCCTCAAGTCTTCAAGGCGCTATGGCAGCCATCTCTTTTTCTATTTTTTTCTCCTTTACAGTTGCTAGGAGTATTAGTGTATTACAACATCAACAATCATTTCGCAAATACCCCTACATAGATAGCATGACGTAAGCTATTACAACAATTTATGATTGCTCTACAGATTCTCAATTTTTGTACCATTCAGCTTTAGTGTAATTTCGACTATGACAGAACTTTATATATGCGTGCGACCATATATCTTATGTACAATAACATCGAGAATCATGACTATTCATATCTAGCTGGAGGGCCATTTGGCGCGGCAACGCCGCACAGTGTTCTAGTGTAAATATAGATACACTGTCTTACATTTGAGTTAGAACCTACATTTGCACTGCACTCCCTGTCAGGTATTCAGAGATACCGGGTGCACTCCAGAAATAAGCAACGGCTTAACAAGGCAAGTCCGCATCCGTCGCATAAGACTAAACAAAAGAGCACAAACATCTGAACTAGAAACTTCACTCCCTCTGTGAGGAACTGAAACTGCACACTCGGCACAAACTAAAACCAGATGACAAGTAAATCTGGAGAAAACACAGAGCTAAAGGGAGAAGCAAGAACTTACAAAAGAATGGCTCGTTGAGCACTCTATTACCTCAAAAATAAAGAGCAAATGCACCACAACCAGAAAAAATTGTAGGCCGCTACTGCTGACTGAAGCAGGTGGGTGCAGGTTCATTTGTTAACTCACTTGCGCGCAAAAAATAACAAGCAACCACTGTAATCATAATAAGTATCCTTGCCAACTTGAGTTGATGGATAACTCTACATAATTGCACAGTTGCACTTTGATTCGACCTTTGGGGGCTTCATGGTGCCTGATGTCCTTGAAAATTCAGGAACTGGCCGAACAAGTACAGGATCTTTAGCAACCACTTCCATCTTGTCAGTTTCTGTGACTGTTTCACCTTCTGATCTTTTCCTATGTCTTGCCGTTCGTCTGTGGGGTGGTTTCAGTGAAAAGACAACCAAAACAGATGAGGGCTACTCCCCTGATACCCACAAATCCGATCCTTCCTCCCAGGACCCACAGCTCAAATCCTATCCACTCTCTCCCCCCACCCCGGGCCCACAGCTCAAATCCGATGCAAAAATAGATTGCCCATTGCACGTGTAGTCCTCTACTGTGCTCTCAATTTCATCAGACATGGACTAATTTTGCTTCCCAAATCCCAGCTTGTGTGCAGCAGAGGGGGGAATAAGGAGGAAGGAACTGAGGAGGGAGGAACCTAGAAGGGAGCACTCACCGTGGAGCCAACAGCCAAAAGGAGGGGTGTAGGGGTGAGGCAGTGCATCGCTGGGAACCGACAGACACCTAGTTACCGTTTGTACCTCAAGGCGATGCACTCCTCTGCTCAGCACTTTAGTGTGCCCAAGCGAGCACCTAATACTGCCTTTTGTAACCTTGATCAACCAAGTTTAAGCACATGTGCAGTGTATTGTGTGTATGCAATCTCGGCCCATACGTCTTATCTTTCCCTTGTATGTTATCTAAATCGAATATGGATACACATGCAGTTGTAGATTATATTCCTCTCTCCTAAATCTATATTCCTCTCTCCTAAATCTAGTACTAAGTATGCATTGAAATTATATTCCTCTCTCCTAAATCTAGTACTAAGTATGCATTGAAGATTCAGGTTTGTGTTGTGAAATTGTGATACACCCATTTGAACGAAACCTCAAGAGCATATTAGATTGTATTATGCTCCTTCACACTTAATAACATAAAGAAACTACTTTCTTTGTACTACGACCTTCAACAAGTGAAGGGGTATTTGGTTTGACCTAGATTTACACAAGCTTAGATAGCCATACTTTTCTAGTTCTAAGTAGGCCTTTTCGGGGACCAATACTAGGGTACCCGAAGAGAAGTAGCTAATGGTCTTCAACATTGATTCATCCGAGCAGTCAAGAGCGCGACTACAGCTCCAACCGACCCCTAGGTGTGCGGGCTCCGCCTCGCCCGACCTCTGGGGGCGGGCTCCGCCTCACCCGACCCCTTGGGTGCGGGCTCCGTCTCGCCCGATCCCAAGGCCGCGCGGGTCTCACCCAAGGCCGCAGGCTCCGCCTCGCTCGACCCCTCGGGAGCGGGCTTCGTCTCGCCCGACCCCAAGGACACGGGCTCCGTCTCGCCCGACTTCGAGGCCACGGGCTCCGTCTCGCCCAACATCGAGGCCGCGGGCTCTGTCTCGCTCGACCCCTTGGGTTCGTGCTCCGTCTCACCCAACCTCAAGGCCGCAGGCTCCGTCTCGCCTGACGGGGACCCATACCACCGCCAACCACTCCAGGTCCAAGCGTATGGGTCTGGGTCAAAACTCTGACACCAGGGAAGAGACTGTCACGACTCGATGTAACCCATGGCCATGACGGGCCATACCTGAGGATTCACATAAAAAACAGCATCGGTCGTACGACTGAGCACACGACTGAGCAGCGCTCGAGTTCTCAGCACCCGTTCACTCCTTCCACCAGAGACTTGGGATCCTTTCCCTCTCTCGCCAGTTTGTAACCCCTACTACAAACTTTCAGTGCTAGTAACACGAGCAGCAGCGATGAACTGGACGTAGGGACTTTTTGGCCGAACCAGTATAAACCTCGTGTCCTCTAAGCACACCATCCGAGCCAGACGCGTAATACTAGAAATTTACTTGTCGGTGGTAACTCGAAACACCGACAGTTGGTACGCTAGGTAGGGGCCTTTTGTGCGTCTCAACGGCCACACCAGGCCTCGGATGGCTAGTCACGGTGTCAGCTCGGT